TGAGCAATTAAAATATTTACATGTATCTATAGGTACATTTTCAGGTGCTATTTTTGTTTCTGCTCATAGTGGAGAAAAGACCAATGATGCAATAAAACATTTTTACAAGCATTTGCATCACTGGGCATCCCCCAAATAATAAAACCTGATAATGGACCTGCTTATACATCTCAAAAATCACAAGAATTCCTCAGTTTATGGGGTGTCAACCATACCACTGGCATCTCTCACTCCTCCACAGGCCAATCCATCATAGAAAGAGCCCACAGAACATTAAAAGACATCTTAGAAGAACAAAAAAGGGGAGTAGCAATACTAACTACAACAGAAGGGTAGTGAAAAGCCCTTTATGTTTCCTTTATGTTTTTAATTTTTTAAATAACTCCTTCATTGAAACAGTTCCACCCATTTTAGGTATTTTAGTAATACCACCCGAACTAAACTCAAAGAAAAACCATCAGGGTTTGTAAAAGACACTGAAACTGGACAAGTTTCAGGGGCCTACCCCCTAGTCACCTGGGGAAGAGGATTTGCTTGTGTGTCCACAGGTGCAGGACCCAAGTGGATACCAGCCAAGAATATCAAACCTCAGTTACAGCCATTGTGGGAGGTCACAGAACCATCAGAAACTCCAACAGTGGACCTAGCGAAGAATAGGACAGCAATTCCAGGACAAGAGCAGGACTCGCCAAGGACTCCTAAAAAGACTGAGAATGACATATTCCTTGCTCACAGTTTGTAGCCTTCTTTATTTCCTTCCTCCAAGTAACACCTGGACAGTCTTGCAACTGTAAGACAAAATGTATGGGTCACCCTTGCTAACCTCACTAAATGAGAGACCGTGTGTCTTTCAGTGGCCAGCCCGAGTAGGGCTACCTACAGATGTGTAGCCAATACCAGAGAATACCATCCTTACTCTGCAGATCTGGGGTCATAGTTCTAAAAACTGGAAGTTCAACTCCGTAGATGATTGGGACCACTGGACCAGAAAACTACCACATGCCCCAAATGAGCTCCAAGAATTGGAACTATTTGCACCCTCCCCTAGATCCTTCCTTGTATAAAAGTCCTTGCACACCAGGGCTCATGGTCTTTCATCCCTGGACCCTCCTTGGTAGTAAACCATCTTGGAATCTCTATGATTTCCTTGTTGTTGTCTCTGCCTTTGGTGCTTTAGCACACCACTGTGCTGTAGAGAGCAAACCCTGCTCTACTGTTACTCAGACCATATAGCATCTGGGTACAGCCACTCTTGGCGCGTTGTTGGCAGCTAGTGAGAGATACCAGCACCATGTCAACACACTTTTCTACTGGATGCATTTCTCTTCAAAAATTTATGTAATATTTATCATCCTGCAGTTATGAACACTGATTCTAGTATTTTCCATTTACCAAAGTAACTTTGGACATTTTTAATAGAGTCAAGATCATCATCCAAGACGAGTATACTACTCCACACATGCCAGAAATTTTGCTGTTTTAATCCTTGTCTGATACCAGTATAGCATATGCTATTCTTCATTGTTTTAAAGCTAGGAAAAAAACCCCAAACATTAAAAAATAAGTGTCAGGTGACGTCAAGAATATTTTTGGACTTCCACCGGTGCTCTGATGTTGTAGGTTTTATTACAGTAATATTAATGAGATGGATAGCTGTATCTAAAGACAACAATGGCTACATCAAATCAAATAATGAGTGAGACCAAAAACGTACTAATCTTCAGGATTTTCTTGGTTGATACAGTCCAAAATCTTTAATGGTTCTGAATTCATGTTGTTTCTCAGAACCACGACAGCATTAGTGCTTTGAATTTAATAAATTTTTTTTTTGTTAGGCAACTTGTGGCAGAGTCAATCCTCTTATGACTGGAAAAAGTTGCCAAAGTAGTTCATACAAACCAATTTATCTTCATGGTTTCAAATTACTTTAAGGAGTCTTGCAGACTAAACTGGACTTTCAGCTCTTCCCGCAGTATCTTGGAGCCAGTACTTACTCAGTTGCTGTCTACTGTTTCCTCTTTGTTCCTTCATGACATTTCTTGGGCAGAGACATGCACTCTTCAAGACACCAGGAAAAAACCCCCTCATATTCACCTGCTTAGTAAGAAAGGACAGAATATATTTCTAGAGGAGGGCATTACAAAGAGATGTAATCAATTTTTCTCAGTTCAGCCCTCAAATCACACAAATGAAGAAAAATGACAATAATGGTTAAATGCCACTTGTTTGCAGGCTCATATTTATCTGATTCTGTGTGGACTTCATGCACTGTTTAGAGAAGACTTACAGTTTAAATGCAAGCAGTTTGATTACTAACATAGTCAAGCCTTACTTTCTGCTATTGCAGTCTAAGCATATTAGCTGTTTTTTTGTGGAAGAAAGATACCTTAACTACTTGGGGATGAGACAAGCAGAAGATAAAGACTGCCACCTATTGTTCCAAAATAAAGCACAGCTTCTGCATACAGCAAGAGAACATGAACATCCTGAGTTCAGTGCTCCAGCTATCTTTATCAATTTCCCAATACATATTTTGGTTTCCCTAACATATGAACTTTTATCTAAGTGGAATCCATTTTGGATCTATGCCTAATTTATAAATTGAAAGACTTTTCCACATTTCAGTGAATGGCATCAACAAACCAAATTCACAGGAAGTATAAAGTACCTGGGTGGAGTATTTAATTACGAGATGTACTTGCTTTCTTTTCAGGTAAACCTACGTACATGAATTCTATTACCTATTTACAGTGGAGGCAAGAAAAAATTTTGTGTTCTTTGTCCTTGTCTGAATATTCATGTTCACCTTGTCATTATTATAGAATTGTCTTTTATAAACATAAAACTACTGAAGCCCATTAAAGTCACATAGGTACTGCAGATAAAATGGACAGTTACTGTGAAAATTCTGATTGGGAAAACCATTAAATATAGGTCAGAAAACAGTGTACTGAAAAGAAGACACATGAATTGACACAGAGGGGAGACAACGTGATCTGACTATATATTGTTAATGTTTTATCCCTTCCACACTACAGTACAATTAAGACTCTTGACCATCTACCCAGTACTACTGGAAATCAGAACTACATTTTCCATAAATCTGGCAGCAGGAATATGACTAAAGAAAAATCTAGTGTTACCAAACAATGAACCTTTGCCTGCTCAGCTGAACTGGCTGTAAGACCAGAATCCAGGTACCAGAGATTTGATGCCTATGTAGACTTGAAATGCACTATTCTAGTACTACAGCCCTGCAGAGACATTTTGGAATAGTCTCTCTATTTTATCCTGACATTTTTTGAGAACAAGAGCTGTCAGCTGAAAGAAGCATTGTTTCTAATGAAAGTGAATAATGTTAAATACAATAAGGATGCCTCTATGTTTAAAAAAATGTCAAGAGTCAATATAACAGAAATAAATATTTAATGTGGATTCTCATCTTGGAAGTTCTATTTATGATTATCTAGTCTAGCCTTTGTAAGAGGTGCATAGATATTCTGGAAGTTTCTACATAAAACAAAAAGATTCTTAGACAGAGCACTCAAAATACTTTTCATCTGGATAGAATGACATTATTGGAAGAAGGATACCTACCAACTATATCTGTGGATAAACTTACTCCCTTTTTGTCCTGCTAGTGTTTTTACTGTTCATCATTCCCAGTTAAAATGTGCCTGTCTTCATGTCATGAAAATGTTTAACTGCTACAGAGCTCCATGAATGAATCTCCAGAACATTACGAGTTAGAAGCTTACACATATTGCTGTCAATATTTTAAAAACATGATGAAAAAGATGCAAAACAGACAAATGATATACAGTTAAAGAAAAAAAAAAAAAGAGTTTTTTCTTCTGTTATATAGCATCACCAAACTGCATACTCGTAATTAAACATAGGCCACAGAAATTTTCAGTGACTAATATAAAGAAAGATGTGTGCTAATGTCTTTACAAATAATGTGATAAGTGAAGGTATAGGTGTTAATGTCTTTGAAATGCGTCTTAATGTCTCTACTAACTTGGGCAAGAGGTGGTTGCAGAGCCCAAGCAAGGGTCTGCACAAGCCTGAACTTCTGAACTAATAATAATAGGTTCAAGGGGGGAACATGCAGCAGGTGGTTTTTGGGGGGATATATGTGGTAGGCGGTTCAGGAAGGCTGTACCTTCCTAGTACCTCAGCCAACGGGGAAAGGAAGAGGGTAACATGTGGCAGGGAGCTTAGGATAAAAGGAGGCTGTGCTCTCTGAAACCCTGAGAGAGAAAACCCCATGGGCATGTGCCCCAGAAGACTCTCTCACTTTATCTGACTAAACCTGGAGGACTCCTCTGTCTCCTTTTTAGACATAAAACCCTGGCATTTGTGGATATTCTGACACTATATTACACTTAAACAGCTAGTGCTCGCACTGTAATTTATAACTCAATGCACCATTTAACAGAAGCTGCAGCAATCTACACAGTCTAGACAACTGTATCAGAAGCAGGATAAAACCTGTCTCACTGGCATTAGCTTCTCTGCTTTGGGCCAGCAGTGCTTTATTTCTGGTATTTGCTGCCATCTCATGTGTTTCAAGAACTATTGCAGTGGAATTCTAGAAGCCATCATTTCATACATCTAAAAAAACTTTAGATAGCTATGTGACTACAATGTTAAGAAAATACATTACTTAATGTTCTGATATGATTTTTTAGTGTTGCTGCTATGTGATATGGAAATGACCTACATTTAAAACCAGAATGAAATTGTGCTCCAATTTGGGTGAAATAGCATGCTGTGACCAGTTTTCAACTCTCAGTTATATGAAGGACATTGACATGCTTCCAGACGTCCAGCAGAAGGCCAAAACATTGTCAGGGACTGAAGAATATCTCTAATGAGAAGCAACTGAAGGAGTTAGGTTTGCTTACCCTTAAGAGGATGAGGCTTCAGGGCAACCTTATTGCTGTCCACCAGTATCCAGTGGGTAGGCATAGAAAAGATGTGTGACAAACAACCCCTGACTTCTAAAATTTTCAAGGTTTATTAAACCTTCACAAACACAACAAAGGACTGAATAAAGAAAAAGGGCAGAGATCTGTAAGCATATGACTGACCACATGCTCATCTACAAAATTGCTGCTCCACCTTTTATACCCCACCGGAGCATCAGGCAACCCTGGCCACTCCCAAAGTCTGTCAGTAAACTTCTTCTTCGCCGTCCATTGGTGGAGACTACTTCCTTGCTACTTGATTTGAGGTCAGGTGTTGTCATGCCTCGGCCTCCTAGTAACAAACCTACCCTGAGAACCAAGGCTGTCCCATTACAATTCAGAGGGGGAAGGGGACTATGGAGAGAACAGCGGATGTCCAAACAACAGACAGTGAAACTTCTCTTAACATACACAAAATATTAATCTCTTAATTGTAAGAACCGATCATCATATTACCCATCTTTAATAGATGGAGCCTCCTTGGAAGAACACAGTGATCAGACAAGACAAGCACATTTATTGTAATACAGGAAATTCAGTGTATATTTTTGAAAAATTTTTCACCATGAGTGGTAGCACACTGAAACAGGGACCCAGAAGTGTCACGGAAGACAAATTTTTAACTCAAACAGATGTCAGCTTCTCAAATCAGGAATGGTTCCTGACCACTGTGAAACAGAAAAAATACACTGTCACACAGAAAAAAAAAAAAAAAAAAAAAAAAAAAAAAAAAAAATTGTTCAGAAGTTTATGCTGCCTAGATATTGCATCAGCAACCTAAAACACCCTAAAACATAGGTAAGGGAACAGGTTATCCTTTTCTCTTAGAGGTTGTTGTCATGGGACCAGGGTTTTTGTTACTAACACTAACCTAAAGACATTGCCCAAAATATGAAAGCCAGGAAGAAAGTGCAGAAAAGCTTTCTTAAACTTCAGTAATTAAAAGAGTCTTCCTCCCAGGTAGAACATTGCAGCAAATTCACAGGTGCTTTGAGATGCACCCATGCAAGATAAGCATGTATTGGAAACACTGTGCCAGAGCAGTTTAATAAAGCCAAAATACTGATTTATTGATCACAATTGCTACATAAGTATTCTGAAAAAGGTCCTTGTCCTTACTTCCATCTATTAAAACAGAAGTTCTTAGCTACTGGCTTTGAAAAATGATGCCAAGGTATAGCTTTCCACAGCCACAGCGCTATGAAGATTAATGCTCTCACACTACCCATGTGCACCCTTAGTCCGTAACTTGGGACTGGCCTGAGCCAGTGGCTGTGGGAGGTGCATGCTTTGGCAACACTTTAACACACTCCAAGGCACTTCGTGACCTCTTAGAGAGTTGTAACCTGAAAGAACAACAGATGAGGAGAGGGTTGACTTGATACTTCCAAGAGTTATCCTGTACTTTCTCTTCAACAAATACTCTGCCTGAGTCTTAGAGACCACATTTGAAAACAATGTAAAGTCATCAATCTTTTTTGCTTCATAGTGAACTAGCAAGCAGGTAACAATGAGAAACTGCATTCAGCTGCACGTTTTTCTCATAAGCATTCAAAAAGTATTTTATTAACCCCACCAAAGGTTTAAGGAAGAAGGCAAATAACTCCTCTGTTTCTTCTACTCATGTTCAGTAAAACAAAAGGTGTTTCCCTGGACAGAAGAGGAAGATTTATTTTAGACACTGCTAGACATAATAGTGCCCTACAGAGATATTCAGAGATAGAGCTGCAGATTTTGTTAGCGCATAATATTGTGTTCAAATGAAAAAATAACATAAATATCTCTGAGCTCAGCAAACTTACAGAAGTAGTTATGATCCCTCCACAAAAAAAAACCAAACAAACCCAAACCAAAACAAAAAAAAACCCAAAAAAACCCACCCACCAAAAAAACAAAACAAAACAAAACAAACCCCAAAAAACAAAAAAAAAAACCATAAAAAAACAACAAAACACAAAACCCCAAAAAAACCAGCCCCGGAAAGTCCTGTATTTTCAGGCTTCTTTAGTATTAAAACAAATCTTTGACTTTCAAAGATGAATATAACTTCTTTTAACATCATAGGTATACATGAGGGATGACTAAAGAGGTCTTGTCCTTTAATTATATTCTGGTTGTTTTTCACTACTTTCTAGAACACTGCAAGCAGAAGCAAAATAAAAGATGAACATGATTTGAGGTCAGGTGTTGTGAGTAAGAAAAGGTAAAGTGTACCACACACTAATTAAACTACAGACTCATTCATTTTAGCAGCATCTAAACAGTCAAAATTATACTGTACCATGGCACTTCAGAAAGGAAAGACATCACATTTAGTACTATGGGCCTTTGTCACCAAAAGCAACATAAAACTTTCACAAACAAAATCACAGCTGTATTGCTTCATATGAGACACTATGGCATACAGATTAATTAGGAATCCATGCCGACCTTGAAGCTTGCTCTGAGAGATCCACCATTTCTAAGGACCTGAAAGGTCCTGCCCATTCTGAGGTTACAAAAGGAGGAAGTGTAGAGGGATTTCTTAACAAAAAAGGGTTATTAGTGGAATCGGCGGCCGAGGAAGGTGATGGAGTCACCGCCCCCGGAAGTGTTCAAGAAAACATCTGACACTCAGCGCCATGCTCTAGCTGACTTGGTGGTGTTCAGTCATAGTTCGGACTCGATAGCCTCAAATGTCTTTTCCAACACAGTCAATTCTGCGGTTCTCTAACAGACCGACTTGCTCTAAGCTTTGCGCTGGCACTTTCCCCGGGAGCGTCCCTGTAAGCGCGCAAGCCCCAGAGAAGCGGGCAGGCTCTTTGCGGCCCCTGGAGCGGTGGAGCCGCCCAGGAAGGCAAGGCGGCGAGGCGAGCCGAGGCGAGGCGAGGCGAGGCGAGCCGGGCCGGGCCGGGCCGGGCCGAGCTGCCCACAGCGCCCGCTGCCGCCTCGGCTCCGCCCCCGCCCCCCACGTGACGTGCCGGGCGCCGCGCCCCGCGTCACGTGCGCTGCCCCCCGCGAGCGCGCGTGCGCAGCCAGCAGCTGTCATCCGAAGTCTGGGAGCGGGGCTCTGGCGCGCGCGCACGGCGGGGGCAGCCGCAGCCTCGGGGACGGGGGAGCCGGCGGCGGGGAAGGGAGCGCGCCTGCCCCTGCCCCTGCCTCCTCCCCTTCCTCTTCCTCCTTCCCTTCCTCTTCCCCTTCCCTTCCCTGTCCTGTCTTGACCTGCCCTGCCCTGCCCAGTCGCCTCCCGTCCCGCGCCGCCCCGCCTCTCATCCCTTCTCCGGCCGCGCCTGCCCGCTGGAGCCGCTCCCGGACAGGTGCGGCGGGAGCGCTGAGCTGGCCCTGGCGGCGGCCGCGGCTGTGCGGCGAGGAGGTACGGGCTGCGAGCGGGCCGGGACGAGCGGGCAAGGCGGCAGGGCGGCCGAAGTGCGCCGGGCAGGTGGGAGCGGGGGCGCGGCGGGTCCCGGCGGCGAGTGGGGCCCGAGTTCCGGGCGCGGGGCGGAGCGGCCGCAGCGCCGCCGGGCAGCCCCGGAGGCGAGAAAGGGCACGCGGCAGCCCCCGCGCCCGGAGCGGATGGATGCTGGGGCTCCGCGCCGCGGACCAGAGGGTGGCGGCTGGGACCGAGGTGAAGAAGGGAAACCGGCAGTGGGAAAAGTGGCGTCCTGCTCGCGGCTGGCAGTTCTGGATCAGGGCTGCCGGTGGGAGTTCTCCGGGAGGGTTCTTCGCGTGGTCGAAGTGCGTGGACGAAGGGAAATAGAGCTTTATCTCTATCTGTCAGGGTTTTGATGAAATGAAATTGTTGCGGGCTTTGCAGATAGTCTCTTTTTGGTGCAGCTCGTTCGTTCCTGTATGTAGCTAAGACTTCAGGGTTGTGTGCTGAGCGAAGAACTGAATTAAGCGCCTGTCCCACACCTGCCCACGGTTATAAAACGCTTTCGAAGCTGGTTTTGGGATCAGGTCACTGTTATGGTAGTAGTCTTCTCTCAATGAGCTTACTCTCGTCTGATTTTATCTGGGAAAGTGAGTGGGAAGTGTGCGCAAAATATTTCTCATAGGTTAACTTGTGTTAGGACAAATACTCGTGTGTCTATGTGTTTTTTAAAACAATTATACTAGCTCAGAGAATAAACAGCATTTATATTTTACTTTTTGAAGTGCAGATTTATGATTCTTTGCTGAGAATTACCAGCTGTAGGTACTGAAGTTACTATTTAGTGGCTACTAAACCAGCACCTTCTAAGTGGAAGCACTTGTTCCACAAGAAAGAAACTTAGTGACACCTAATGCACTGGGTTTTTTTGCTGTATATGGGATAAAATTCGACTTGGGGGCTTTACCTTTATTTTTGCTTGTACTGTCATAAATAGCTAGTGGCATTGCTTCAGGGAAGTATTTTCCAAGCATAAGAAGATGGAAAACACAAGCATGATTCCTGTTTCAGTAGATGAAATGAGAATAAGTTGAACTACTGACCCTCATACTAGTTTTTTTCTCAGCTTAGATTTGGAGTGGTGTTGGTGCTCGCAGTTTCCTTTCTAAAGACTGACGCAGGAAACAATATGTATCACCCAAATATGTGGACAAAGTTAAATAGCTGTTGGATCAGAGTTGGAATAAAGTATATGGGAGAAAAGTCTTTTGTCAGTGTTTGTTTTAGAAAAACTTAATCTGATTTGGTCTCTGATGTCCTTTTTTTAATGGTAAATACGATAAAATAGGAAAAAAAATCAAATCCTGTAAGTTATACTCTTTAATTATTGCTGAATATTGCATGGAGTATTTAGTGTCATTTGAGCTAATAAATAATTCTGCTCCAAATCTCAGTGCACAATCAGTATTGCATTCAAATAATAAAATTATATTGTCAACTGCTTATTATTATTATTGTTATAACTGCTCATTATTCCTTAGGTAATATTAGCAAACATAGTAATTACTAAAAATGCAATTTTATGCTTAACTGTATTATAAAATTTTGGGTCAAGTAGGTTATAGATTAAGGACTTTCTGAGTTTAAGCAGCTCTTAGTCTGATTCTTAGTTCTGCACTTTGATATTCAATTCACTTTGGTGTTAAATTTTTTCTTAGTTTTCTTTTAGTGAGATATATTTCATCATCATGCTGAACAGAATGTGAATAGGGTTGTGGTGCTGTTAAAGGTGATATTTCCATCCTACCACCTCCAATTTAAATTAAAAAAGCTTCACCCTAACGACTTTTGAAACATGAATTCAGTATACATGGAGCTTCAAAAGGAAGATGTATTACTATAATTCTGTCAGTATAAGGTATTTGCAAGATGTCTAAATGGTCACAGGGATGGTTCAAAAAATGATCATATTCAAAAAAGAATTTGCTGGTCCAAAGTCCCAATATCTGTTATAAATGAAGTCTTACTGTAGTTTTGTTGTATGAAGACTTACGGTTTACGTCAGATTTTGTAGGTGGCATTGTATGTCATAATTCTGCTATAGTCTTGCCCTTTCCTCAAACTTGCTTGCACCAGTTTAAAATTGTGGAATTGCACATAGCAGTTGAGTTGTTTGCTTTGTCTGTGTGAGTAGTTGTACTATTGAATTATGCAAGTCCTCATTTTTATCTGTAATTTTGTTTATGTCCAGCATTTGTGGGACAGGATATTTGTGACAATATACTTGGGGCACTGTATTTAGGACACTATACCCTGAAAACTGAGGACCATCTATATAATTATTATAATCTATATAAACAAAAATTAGAAAACATGTCAGGATTTTAAGTTTAAGTTGCCAGAGTTAAGATTCAAAACACATCTCTAATGAAAACTGAATTCTGAAAAAATCCAGTGTCTAGTCAATTTCTGATTCTCAGACAAGGTGGGATAATTCATTGCCTGATGCAGATATTTTAGGGAACTTCCACAAACAAAACGTGCTCCAGGTCCTTTGCAGCATTCCTGCCTGTAAAATGTGGAGTCACTTGATTGGATTGTTGGAATTTACCTCATTACACCTGTGATATCCTGCTGGATTTTGTATAATAAAATGAAAAGTCTGGTTACTAGCAGGTAGCTTGTCTTTAAGAAGACCTAGATAAATACTTATATTCAGGGTAGCTGTTGTATGACAGACATTACTGTGCTCAGTCAGGTTTTGTTTCACTTTCACCGTTTATTTCTTCAATTAAAAAGGTATGTAAGTTGGCAAAATGGTAAATGAGCCTTTGGCTTTGGAGCTGGAAAATTGTCTATAATCAAAACCTATTTTGAAAAAGAGTAATTTCCATTTAAAATTAAATTGGGAAAAATGTAGAAGTCTGTAAACTAAGCTACAAATAAAGACATAGAAACAGAAACGTGGGAGAAACTCCTAGTTTTAGAAATCAAACTCTTCATGTCTGGGTTTGACGTGATGGAAGTATTTGGAGTATTTGGTTTGAATAAATGATGATAAATATTTCAAAACAGAGATAAGTAAAATGTTTAAAACTTGGAAAAAACAATTAATAATAGAGGAAAAATGTTTTCTTAACATTTGCAGCAATTTGCAACAATTTGTTGCCTTCGATGTTGTAGTATAGCCTATACTTACATAAGTTGGTGAAACTTCTAAACTCACAGTGTGGAAATCTTCTTTAGAGTTATTGTGATGCAGCTCTGTGCAGAGTCATAGAATGTCCTCAGTTAGAAGAGACACACAAGGACCCCTGAGTTCACCTTCTGGTTCTGCACATGACCATTCCAAAAATCATACCATGTGTCTGATAGCATTGTCCAAATGCTTCTTGAACTCTATCAGGCTTAGAGCTGTGACCACTTTCCTGGAGAATCCATTCCAGTGCCCACCCACCCTCTGGGTAAAGAATCTTTTCCTGATATCCAGCCTATACCTCCACTGACACAATTTCAGGCCATTTCCTCTGGTCTGTCACTGTCACCACAGAGAAGAGATCAGTGCCTGCCCCTCCTCTTCCCCTCACAAGGAAGTTGCAACTGCAGTGAGGTTTACCCTCAGTGTCCTCCAGATTGAGCAGTGGTCTTAGCTGCTCCTCATACGGCTTCCCTTCAAGGCCCTTTAGAGTTGAATTTGCTCCATTTGTTTGATATCATATTGTGGGTAAGAGCCATGTAGTTCCTGCATACCATTCTGTGAGTTCATTAGGTGGTCTGCCACCACTCCTGTTAAATTATTTGTAATTTCAGGGGCCTGGGATCAGTCTGGAGTGAGGAGTTTTGGTCATGCAAGCTGATTGTATGTGTGGTTTTCTTTAGTGTGCATGCTTTCAGTCATAACAACAGAAAGGCATGACATTGCTGGATATAGCTTGGCCGCTAGGTATTTGATCTGCCCCACCAAAATGTGAGGGCAGTGGAATTGCAACTAGTCTTTGAATTACGAAATCCTTTATGAGAATGGAAGTGCTCACACTGAAAGTAAACTTTTTACTGGTGCATTTTACTGGTGCAGAAATGCTGTTTCAGATGTTCCATAACTAAGCAGCTTTAAGAAAGACAAGTACATCTTTCTGTTTCTCAGGTTATAGAGCCTCATTTATGTGTTTTGTATTTTTGTTTATTCTTTTTTCTCCCCTTTCATGCTGTCCTTATTCAGCTTCTAATAAAGGATTTGCTCTGTAGTGGTTCCTTGGGAAAATTATTATCACAGTTACTGCAGCATATCCCTAAAAAAAAGATACATGTTTTGATGTTAAGGACTTGTGAAGTCCAAGTTATAAGGGTATCTTTTGGGAGGGAACCTGTTAAAGGGGTTAATTAAATGCCATATAGGCAGAAAGGACAGGCCTACTAAAATTGTGCTTAAAAAAGTGCTTAATTAGGAAGGAGTTTGCATCTACCACCTGTGATTTCTATCCCCAGAATTATCATAGGCTGCATTAG